GGGGAAATGCTTTGGGGAAAATTAGTCCCCTTTGGTATCTTTTTAAAATCACATCAAGAAACTGTACATCTACCTTTCGTATGTAAGTAGACTTAAACTGAAAAAAAAAAATAGATTCATGGAGGAATGGCTTCCATGGGTTTCCTTGGGTAAGAGATTTTCTTCTGCCTTGCACACAAGTGACTTCCTCAAGTGGCACTATCCATAGCTACTCTCCTCCATGTTGGTCATGGGAAATTTTGGTTATGTTAGCACAGGTGAAGGTATGTCGTAATCAGGTGTTGTCAGTTCTACCTCTCCAGTATCTCTCATATCCAAAATCTTTGCCCCAAACATAATTCTACCACCCAAGTTCAGGCTTTTATCAGTCAATTACATCTTGTCCAGACTGTTGTAAATCTCCTCCTAATTGAAATTCCTGTTTCCAGTGTCTTCTGTCTTCAGCTCATCTTTCACCCACCTGCCAAAATCATCTTCCTAAGGTACAGTACTAATTATAACACTTTCCTGCTTAAAAAACAAAAACAAAAACAAAAACAAAAAAACATTCAGTTGTCTTTAGTATAAAATAGAAACTCCTTGGCCTGTCATTTAAGGTCCTTCACAATCTTGCCCCCAGTCTATGCTCTCCAGCCTTATTTTCTATGAGCTTTCATGAACTTACTGTTCCAGCCAACTTGAGGACTTGCTATTCCCTGAACTCAACATAGCATTTGTCACCTCCAGGCTAGCGTCCTGTGTAGGCTAGCATCCAAAACCAAGTTGGGGAGGGGGTTTAGGAAAGGACTCTTCATAAAGTGTTATCTGAGCTAGTCTTACCAAGGATGTCGACAGGCAAAGAGGAGAGATAGTATTCCAGACATGGGGGATAACCTCCATTTAAGGAAAGGAAACTTGAGAGACATCTCAGAAATCTCCTAATCTCCCACCTAGCTGCACTCGTTTTGGACTTCTTTGACTTCCCATCCTCTCTTTTAGCTTCCTTTTGATTATTGTCTTCTCTCATTAGATTGTAATCTCCCTGAGGACAGGTACTGTCTTTATTTTTGTATTTCTATGCCCAGCATTTAGCACAGTGCGAAACTAGTAGATGTTTATGAAATAGCTATTGACTATTGACTATAATTCTTTTGACAGGAGCATAAAAGTAAAATATCAATTAAACAACTTTTTCTCTTCTCTCCTCTGTTTTTCTGAATAGTGTTCTTATTCCCTCCATTTTTTCTCATTTTCTCCCAAACGTAGCAAACAACACTCTTCTTTATACCTTCTGAACATGTCTTTAAAATCTAAGTTGGTTAATAAGTTCCTGTAAATCTCATGCGCTCTTTTTTTTTCTTCTTCTCAGAATTATTTTTCTTTTTGTTTTCCAAAATTCGTTCTTTTTGTTTTTGTTTATTTTTTCTTTTTTTTTCCTTTTTATTCTCCAAAATTCATTCTTAAGAGTTTCCCATCTTTTATGGGCTGACATCTGTAGAAATTTGGGACAGGAGATCATACCTGTCTTTCTCTGAGTGCTCTAAAATCTGGTCTTCCAAAAACCTAAGTCACATTGGATTTCCCCAGCTTTCCTCTCTTTTATCGTAGATTCTAAGATGAAGTGGTTCCTTCCTCACAAGTTCCTCATCACGTGACTCCACCAACCAATTCTTCTGTACTGGTGCAAATCATATATAGAATAACAGTCTTTTTGCTTCCTCTGTCTTTTGTAGTACGAATTTATCATTAAAGCAATGAAGAAATTATTAATTTTTTTCTGCTTTGGGGAGAGAGAAAGAGCTCCATCATGTGTCTTGTTTTGGTATTTTTCTTTCTCATTGTACCTTCAGTGCTGAGGAACATATGCCTAGCACATAGTAAGTAGTACAGTGTAAGAAATTCTTGTTGACTGACTGATTGACAAAACGAAAAATGTCTAAGAAGGAGTTGATTATTTTATCCAGATCAGTGATTTCATTGCTGTGGGGAGCTTCAATGTATAATTAAAGCCCACCATCAAGACTACAGTATATGATACTTTGGTGTCAGGTTTATTTTCCAAACCACTCATCTATATCTTCTTTCTGTCCAAGTGGTCTGGAGAGTTTTCCAATGACAATATCACATCTGTTTCTCACTCCAGGAAACTCTCCTAACTGTTCTCCATCATGCTTCTCATGTTTCTCACTCCATTTACAGATATCCTGACCCTGATATATATTCTTCATATACAGTAGTATTTGTTTTGTCCTTCCCTCTTTATCTATCATGTTTCTTTTAAAGAAAGACCTTGCAAAGCTATGTTCCTGTCTTGAGACTTATCGTACCAAGTCTCAATCATTCCCATGAGATCAAATTTTTTTCTTTCTATTACTCTCTCTAGTTCATTTTGATTGTTATCCATATTTTGTTTATTTGTGTTTAGACATCTGAAGGCATGAGCTTTATTAGTGGCTCTTGGCTTGGATTGTTTCCTGCGAACTTCTGAGTGACTTGGTATTCTTTTTATACCACAGCTATTCTCTAGGACACTAGCACCATTCTAGTAGTAGCTTATCTCCTCCAGGTTATTAAACAAATAGCTCACATTTCAAGCACTAGCAGTTAAATGACTAATTTAAATGTTCTAAACCCTGGGTTTCTTAGTATCTTCTGATATTTTCCACCATTGTCACTGCAAAAGTAGAAGAGGGCCACACAGGACTAAGGGTCTTTATTGAAAGAATTTTTATCCTTCGTGGTTTGCCATGGCCAAAGAATTCATCACCTACTGGGCAACCTTCTGGTTGGTAAGTCCCTGTGTACTTAGCTAGTCAAGCTGTAGACACAGTCTCTTGCCAGGTCTGCCCTCAAAGCTGTCCTGTAGCTTTGTGGGTCCTGCTGGGGGCTGAAATATACTAACATAGTCTTCAAGAATCCAGGGTGACCTCTCTATTATGAGGCATCACAATAGGAACCTTATAGAGGACAATCCAATCAGTGGCTTTAAATATTAAGCATTAAATCTCAATCACCAATTTAGTATTAATAATAACAGTAGCATTTGTTAAACATCCACTATGGGCATATCATACCCAATTCATCCAAAATAAAGTATGTAATTATATAATGTTCCTTATGTAGCATAAAAAGAAGAATGTGATATCCTTGAGGGTAGGGCATGTTTTGTTTTGGTATTTGTATCCCCAGCACCTGAGTGTATGTGTGCACACTTGTGTGTTTGTGTGTGTTTGTATACTCAGGAAAAATTCCGACGATAGGTCAAAAAATAAAGAGTTATCTACAGAGAAAAATAACGATTTACAGGAACTCTAATCAACTAAATTTTTAAAAAGACATGCATAAGGGATGGAAATAAGAGTGCTGCTTATTATCATTTTAGTGAGCATATATGTAGGGCTTAAAATTTGCAAAACACTTAATAAATATTATCTCATTTGATCTTCACAACAATCCTAGAAGGCAGATACTATTATTATCTTATGTTACAGATGAGGAAATTGAGGCAGACAGAGAGCCAGGATTACATAGCTAGTAGGTGTCTGAGATCACATTTGAACTCAAGTCTTTCTGACTAGTGATCTAATGCTTTGTCTACTGTGCCACTTACATTTCAGGGGGAAATGGGGGAAAAAAAAAGGGAATAAGACCACTGCTCAGATGGTAACAGAAGAGAGACAAAGCAGAACTGTTTAATTCTCTGCAAAAATTATATGTGTGGTATGGACCTGTAATTTCATTGATAGAAGGAACTTCCGATGAGAAAACTCTCTCTATCAGTATGGATCTTCAATTTACATATCATTTACATCTTAGAACAGAGATGACCTACAATCTATGAACTTGTTTTTTTAATTTCCCCAGGCAGTTGTCTTCCTTTGTAATCCTATGTATTTTATCTTTTCATTTAAAATCATTCTGTGAAGGAGTCCATAGGCTTCACCAGAGTACCAAAGACATCCATGACACACAAAAGTTAAGAAAAACCTTTTAGTGTTGCTCAGGTCAGTGAGAGATTGAATGATTTCACCAGGGTCACATATCCAATATGTGTCAGACAGAAATTCAATCCAGGTCATTCTGACAGACAGGCCAGCTTGATATACATTATGAAACATTATTTCTTGCTTTATGCATAGTAAATAGAAAGTAAATGTTTTGTTTTGTTTTATTTTAATGGAATTTAATTGTAAGAGAAATCCCGAACAAAACTTCCATGGACTACAGCCATTATGAAGTCCCACTTATAGATAAGGCATGGTATCTCCCATGTCTAATTATAAATGATTATTTTTGGGGAAAGTCAACATTTAGCTACTATTAGTCACTTAAATTTTTAGGTTTATAGAATTTTCTAGAAATCACATAGTAAAGTCCAGACAAATACATTTTGATGGAGGACAGAGGAGACAGAGATGTGAAGCATAGGGCCTTTTTAAGAATGGGTAGGTTAGACACAATGTAGAGGATTCTGAACAGCCAGGGGTAGCCTGAAGGTTCTAGGTCTATCTGAATATGCCCACCCAAAGAGCATCTCTGAAAGAAGTCAGGCAGCAGAAGTCAGAAACTCCACAGCCAATCTTGTGGGAAGGCAGTGTAGATGTTACCTATATAGTATGATTTCTATGGCACTGAGAAGGACCATCTCCTCTATAGTACTCCCCCACCTGCCCCTTGAGGCTTTCAATTCCTCTAGCAGTACAAAGCCTTTTATTTCAAAGAGACAAGACCTAAAATGTCAATATCAAAGGAGAGGGAATATATTTAGTGAAATTTATACTCAGGTATAAATGACCAATACATAAGGTATAATGATAATGTGTAAATAACTAATCCTAAGATTAAATTTTGAAAGGCAGAAAGGAAGACAACCTAAAGGTGCTGGGTAAGTGTATGAACGGTAAGGGGACTAAAATTCCAGACTTGGGGACACCAAAGACAGACTTCCCTTAATTTATTTTTTGCCCAATTTAGGCCCAGTACAGTGACATTTTGCACATAATCATCATTCAACCAACGTTATGAACCGACTAGCTGGTATTGATATGAAGACTAGCAATAGTAATTATCGTTATTTCCTTCCCTGGGTAGATTATGATCAAGCACAGATGGCTGTTAGCCCAACTCAGTCTGAATCTGACACTTACCCCAAGGACCCAGTCAAACTACCTCAAAGTCAGAACAATGTTAACAATTCCTCTAGTGGCTACAAGTATCCTTTTGGGTATCACAAAGCTGCTCACTACCACCATCCTGGTCCCCAGACCAACTCTCAATATGTCTCCACAGCTTCTTATCTAAGTTCCCCAAGCATCTCTACAAGAACCTATTCCCCACCTAGTTGGGGTTCAGCCTCAGACCAACAGCCCTCTAGGGTATTCCACGAACAGCTCAGGGCTGCTCTGAAATTTGTGGTTAGCCCTGGTGACCCTCGTGAATACTTGAATAATTTTATGAAAATAGGAGAAAGGTCAACTGAAATAGTTTACCATTCTATTGAGACACCCACAGGAAAACAAATCACGATAAAGAAAATGGACCTCAGAAGTGGAGCCAACATGATGGAGTAAAGGTAGGGACTTGCCAGAGCTCTCCCACAAACCCCTCCAAATACTTTTTAAAAATCACTCCAATCATATTTCAGAGCAGCAGAACCTACAAAAAGATGTAGTGAAACAAATTTTGAGCCCAAGACAACTTAGAAGGCCAGCAGCAAAGGTTTGTTGTACAAGGGTGAGAGAAAAGCACAGTCCAGTGCAGGCTGCACCAGCACAGCCTCAGCCACAGCAAACCAGGAGCAGGCCTTGGCTGAAACAGCAGTAGCAGCAGCAGCAGAGGCTGCTTCCCGGAGTTCTCAGCCCTCAGTTGGAAAGGGGGTCAATCAACTGGTCAGAAGGAGATTACAGGGTTTTGGTTTTTTAGTTTGCTTGTTTGTTTGCTTTTTTTTTTTTTCTTTCTAGCACTGAGGCAGGGCTCTGTTGCTTTGCCCACTCTCAGATCTGGGTCACAGCTCTAGGTGGCAGTCCCAGGGTGAGGAGGAACATTAGCACAGCAGAGCTTACAACCATGGTGAAAGGGAGGACTCTTCTCACAGTGTGGTTGTGAAAGAGTGCTTATGGTCACTCACAGACCAGAGCACAGGCCAGGAGAGTAGCAAACACCTCTCCTTAGATCATATTACTTGGAAGAATTGAAAACTGATAGGTCACAAAACCTCAGAAGCTTGGGACAGTGTGCCCTCCACCCTGGAAGCAGAACCCTATGTTAACAACAAGTTAAAAGTCAAGTAATAAGTTGGAAAAATGAGCAAACAATAGAAAAAAAAAAAACCCTCTGACTACAGAAAGTTATTACAGTGACAAGGAAGATCACAACACACACTCAGAAGAAGATAACAAAGTCAAAGCCCCTACATCCAAAGCCTCCAAGAAAAATATGAATTGGTCCCAGGTCATGGAAGAGCTCAAAAAGGATTTTGAACAAATAAAGAGAGGTAGAAGAAAAATTGGGAAGAGAAAAGAGAGTGATGCAAGAAAATAATGAAAAATGAGTCAACAGTTTGATAAAAAAAAAAAAAAACACAAAAAATACTGAAGAAAATAATACCTTAGAAAACAAACTAGGCCAAATGGTAAAAGGGGTCCAAAAAAACCAATGAGGAGAAGAATGCCTTAAAAAGCACAATTGGCCAAATGGAAAGGAGCTCCAAAAGTTTACTAAAGAAAATAATTCCTTAAAAATTAGAATGGAGAGGGGCAGCTAGGTGGCACAGTGGATAGAGCACTGGCCTTGAAGTCAGGAGGACCTGAGTTCAAATCCAGCCTCAGCCACATAACACTTACTAGCTGTGTGACCCTGGGCAAGTCACTTAACCCCATTGCCTAGCCCCCCCAAAAAAATTAGAATGGAGAAATGGAAGCTAATGAAATCAAGAAGCAATAAAATAAAATCAAAAGAATGAAAAAATAGAAGACAATGAATGTGAAATATCTCATTGGGAAAACAACTGACCTGGAAAATAGATCCAGAAGAGAGAATTCAAAAATTATTGAACTACCTGAAAGCCATGATTAAAAAAAAAGAGCCTAGAAATCATCTTTTAATAAATTATCAAAGAAAGCTGCCCTGATACACTAGGATCAGAGGGTAAAATAGAAATTGAAAGACTTCGCCAATCACCTCCTGAAAGAGATCCCAAAATGAAAACTGCCAGGAATATTACAGCCAAATTCCATAGTTCCCAGGTCAAGGAGAAAATATTGCAAGCAACCAAAAAGAAAAAAATTCAAGTATGGTGGAGCCACAGTCAGGATAACACAAGATTTAGCAGATTCTACGTTAAAGAATCGGAGGGCTTGGAATATGATATTCTGGAGTGCAAAGGAGCTAGGATTACAACCAAGAATCACCTACCCAGCAAAACAGAGTATAATCCTTGAGGAGAAAATGGTCACTCAATGAGATAGAGTACTATCAATTATTCTTGAGGAAAAGATCAGAGTATTAGGATAGTTTGAAGGAATATATTTAGAGGGCAAGGGTGTGAGTTGAATACAAAGAGATGATACCCTCAAAAAAATTAGTGGTTGAGAAAGAAATGTACTGGAAGAAAGAGAAAAGGAGAGGTATAATGAGGTAAATTATCTCACATAAAAGAGGTAAGAAAAAGCTTTTACAGTGGAGGATAACAGAAAAGAGGTGAGGGGAAGTGAGTGAACCTTATTCTCATCAGAATTGGCTCAAAGAGGGAATAACATACACATGGAATTGGATATAGAAATCTGTCTTACTTTACAGGAAAGTAGGAGGAGAAGGTGGGGTGTGATGAAAGAGAAGGCAGATTGCAGGAGAGGGTAGTCAGAAGCAAAACACTTTTGAGAAGGGATAGGGTGAAAAGAGAGAAAGAATAGAATAAATGGGGGGGATATATAATGGAGGGAAATACAGTTCTTGTGATTTTTCCCTTTTGTTTTGATTCTTCCTTTACAAGATGACTAATGTGGAAATATACCTAATACGATTGTACGTGTATAGCCTATATCAGATTTCTTGCTGCTTGGGGAGAGGAGAGAGGAAGGAGGGAGAAAAAAAATTGGAACTCAAAATCTTGTAAAAGTGAATGTTGAAAACGACTTTTATATGTAACAGGAAAAAATAAAATACTATTAAGTGAGAAAAAATGGACCTCAGGAAACAACATGGGTATGAGATGCTTTTTAATGAGGTAAATCATGTGCCTCAAGCACTTTTCTGTTATTTGATGAAATGGTGATTGGCCCTGGAACATGTATCTCGAGATTTGTATACTGGTAAGAGCCCTGTGATCATTTGGATGTTCTGGTTGAAAAAAATTTGAAGCTGTGTTAAATATAGCTAGAAAAAAGGAAGGGGGAATCAATATTATTAATCTTTTTTAGTCGCCAATGCCTGGGAAACACAAAGAATGTAGGCACATTCTCTAAATCTCATAATATCTAATGGTGACGTCTCAGGGAAGGAGTTGTGTATTAGCATTGGGAGCACTGGATTGGGGCACAGAGGACATGGGCTCATAGGGTCATAGATTTTGAATTAGGAGAGCCCTCAGACCATCTAATCCAGCTCCCTTGTTTTACACAGGAGGAAACTGAAGCCCAGAGAGGTTAAGGGTTTTGTCCCAGATCACACAGGTAGTAAAGAAGCAGGGTCAGGATTCAAACTAAGATTTTCTGATTCCAAATACAGCTATCTATCCACTACACCAAATACCATCTTTGCTTTTAATACCTGGGTGATTGTGAGTGGTTTACTTTTTCCTTTCTCAGCATTCATTTTCTTATCAACAAAATCAAGGGGTCAGACTAGATATGCTCTAAGATCCCTTGTACCTCTAAACCTTATAATTCTATGAAAGAATACTCTTCTTTACCAATGAGATTCCTTAGTAGTAAAGTCACTTGTCCATTCTAATGGGAAATTGTTGATGATGAACTCTGGGTTTTCATGGAGTTTCTAGGAGGTAGTTCTTTGACAGATAAACTCCTGCTAAGTAAATTTGTTTAGTGTTTAGAGGTCACTCACAGACCTTGGTTAATTAACTTATTTTTTCCCATCAGATACAGAGTCTGGACAATTAATATGTTACCATTAGATCATGCTTATCAATACTCCATCTAAAGGCATATTATTATCATTGAAAGTATTAGGTGAAGTATTAATAACAATAGTTATAATTCTAAAACCTACATTACCCAACTCCCAGAAGCTATTGACCTCTTTACCATTTTCTTTTAAGGACTTTCTCAAAAAATTCTTGGAGATTAATTGATCAAGAATTAGAAGCTATGAAATTATAGATAGCCATAAAGCTAAATACATAAGTCTTATCTTTAAAAAAATCTATGGAAACTGATTTGATTTTCCAAGAATTCTGTCTGTGTAACATTGATGTACTCATTACCACCTACAGTTTCTCTGGGGAAGAATTAGGTTCACCACTTGCCTGACATACTGTTCAACTGAATTGGTATTTTTATAAATAGTCCAAATATATTTTTATAAATATCCCAAGAAGTGTGATGGCATGAAGTTATCTTATGAATCAATCACTAGATATTTGTGTGACATCCTCCACCTTTCATCCAATGGCCCCAAATCCCAAGGTCCTTTCAAATTGATTAAAGACTTGTCTACCTATTATAAGGATTTTTTTTTAAAAAAAGAACATTACTTAATACCCAGTTTATTGTGTTGGTTGATTGAGTAGGGTGAGGAGAATAGAGTCCCACCCTTGCACATTTATAAGTTTTAAAAGTTGGATGGTGAGTCTAATAGTGCAAAAAACTCTCCCAAGGGGGAAAAAAAAATAGGATTTCAACTTCTCATGCAAACAAATGTGTGAAGGATTTGTGATTTTGTGACTCCAGGGGCTCCCATTTATGACTTAATGCATAAGTCCTAGAGAATCCCTTGATACACAAAGAGGTTTTGTAACTTACCCAGGGTACCACAGCTAGTAGATGTGAGAGGTAAAATTTTCACTGAGGTCTTCCTGGCCCTGAGTCCAAAGCCATGTTTGTCATTCCAGGCCACCTCTTTATGGTAAACTAACAACCAGATCATTTCCTTTTCTTTTGTACAGGCTGTGACAATGAAGGATTATCATAGTGACAATGTAACTGACATGTACAATAGTTACCTTTTGGTGATGAACTCTGGGTTGTCATGGAGTTCCTAGAAGGTAGGGCTGTGACTGAGAGAGTAGCTCACATGAGGTATCTTTATTTAGTACCTACAGTTCCTTTCATACACATATCTTTCCTTCATAGGTGGTATCTCAGTGACCAATGTGATTATTAGATAATCCTTTTTAATACCTTAATTTAATTCTGAGAAATACATAGGTAGGCATTGCACCTTACCATCATGCTACAATCCCCATACAATATACAGGGAATAAACCCTCACTTACATATTTATTGAATTGAAGTTAACATGCTCTTGCAAATGATTAATGTTCTGTGATAAATAGTATAAGATTGAATTATACTCTTGGTTTTTTAAATCAATCAATATATATTCATTTATTATGTGCTTTCTTTGTGCTATGAACTTTACTAAGCGGTAGGGACATCAAAAAAGGCAAAAACAATCCCTGTCCTCAAGGAGATTACACTTCAATGAGGGAAATGACATATAAATAAATAGCTACTTGAAAGATCCATACAGAGTAGCTGGTAGATACTTGGAGGGAAAGGCTCTAGAAGCTTGGTGACCAAGAATGGCTTCTATCTAAAGTAGTATTTGGACCACCTTCTTTCAAGAAGCCAGGCGAACTAAGAGGCAGAAGTCAGAAGGAGAAGTATTCCAAGCATGGTGGAAGTGTACTAATACTGTATGCTACAGGAAATTGAAGAAAGCGGCAAGACGAGATATTTTCAAATTTATTTTGAATAAAAAATAGCAGTTATGAGGCTAGAATATAGGATATATAGGAGTAAGGATAGAATACCATTGCGTTACATATTAGAAGAATGAAATCAAAAAAGAAGAAGAAAGAAGTACTTCTGTTTTGTTTTAAAACAATCTTGAGGGAACAGCTAGGTGGCGCAGTGGATAGAGCTCCAGCCTTGGAGTCAGGAGGACCTAAGTTCAAATCCACCCTCAGTCACTTGACACTTCCTAGTTGTGTGACCCAGGGCAAGTTACTTAACCCCAATTGCCTCACCAAAAAGCAAATGAATGAATGAATGAATAAATAAACAAAACAGTCTTGAAAGATAAAGCAGTACTTTTCATACTGTGGCCTCTGCTTCTTGCTTCCTTACTAGTTCCATAAATGAAAGTGGATCCAGGAGAGTAAGCCTCAGTGAGAAGAAAATAGGCAGACTTTGTGCAAATAGAATTATTTTGGTAGATCACTGATGAAGCACCAAAGACTGGACTGGCCCCATGTTGGTCCTCTTTTGTTTTCCAATTTGTGGCTTCTAGTCACAAAAGAGAAGGGAGAATGAGAATCTCCACCAATTGTCACTGCAGTTTCAGCTGGCAGGTTATTGCCTTCATGGGAGCCCTAGCACAGGGCTAGATACATTCAGGCAACTCTCCTCATTCCTGAAACAATGCACTCTGCAGGTTCCTGAGAACAGAGAGACCTGCAAATCCTAGACTTTTCCAGATCATAAAGATGATAGTCCAGAGGGGAATTTGTTCATGTGGCAACACATGGGAAAAAGCTCTCCAAATTTCTTTCCAAAAGAAACCATTTCCTACCTTAAAAAAAATTTCAATTTCTAGGATTAAATCAGGGAAAGGTTCCCGATTGGCTATTAATCTTTCTCTCTTCCTGTGATATAACATAATGGACCTATCTTTTTGTCTTCTCCTGATTTTCCTTTTAACAGTATGGAGAACTGGGATGGGGGCACCAGGATTGAAGAGGAAGCAGTTGAAAAATTGTCAGGGTATGTCTGGAATATACAAAATTTTAAACCATCATTGTGCGAACTTGTTCCTACCTTAAGAATTTTGATAAATGATGATAAATTGATTGATTAGATGAAATGAATATTCTCATTCCTCTGAATTAAATTCTGCTTAGCATGAAGAGGTTTCTAGAAACAAACAATGCAAAAACAAAACAAAACAAAAAAAAAACACTGGGAACTTCAGCTATCCCTGAATAGTTCAAATTCATTGAGTTAGAGATCAATCTTAGAATGTCTTAGTAGATCAAGCCTGAACTTCTGAGAGATGACTTCCCAAAGGGTGAATAACTATGTAATGTCAGTTATTATTATAGACCACCTGCAAGTTTGATTGTCTACTTGGAACAAATTAAAAATCCCATATGTTGGAGAAAAATGCATCAGAAGAAAGATTGGGACACTTTGTACAAAATAATTTAAGACACATTTGGCTGATGTCAACATAAACGAATTCCAAAATAAATATTGGCTTTCCCATCTGGATAATTACCATAACTATGGAAAGAAATTACAGCTTTGTGTGCCTTTATTAGATGTCAACACTGGCAGTTCAACATTGCGAGGTCAGACAAAATGACCAACATGTTCACAAGCAACTAAATGAGATGAAAACTTTTGGTCCATTCCTCATCCCTTCCTTTCCCTTCCCTAATTCCTGTTTATATAATTTGCTTTATCCAGCCTAATTAAGTGCCTATATTATCTTATGCAAAAGGATATATGTTCCCATAAATATAGAGGATTTTTTTCTCTCAGTTTACCCTACCTGTTACTCATATAGCTTCAGTGGATGATGGCAATAACCTTGTTAAAAATATTCAGAAAATGTTTAGAACTACTACAGTATTAGTATGGACTTTGATTAATACCACTAAATCAAAACTATTTTCCATTGGCTTCTCCTGTAAAGGTTTTAAACCTTGGTGAAGATTCACCATTGGAGAGAATGCCTACCCCAGTGAGATCATGGTGTCTTTCATCATAGTTGTCATAACAGTAGTCAGAGACTACATATAAACAATTGCTTAATTTGGAATGAATGAATGTTAAATGGAATAGTATTCTGCAGAGTTTTGAAAGTCCCATCTACACATCAGAGAGACAACGTGGGAGCAGCAGAAGGAGCATTGGAGTGAGAATCAGTAAACCCGAATTCTGGTGTCTGTTCTGCCACTAAGTTGCTATGGGACCTTAGGTAAATCGTTTAACTTCTCTTGGTAAAATGAGTGTTCTCATCCAAAAATTAAGGGAGTTGCACCAAATAGACTCTAAGATCTTTCCCAACTCTCAAAAACTTCAGTTCTGCTCAGATTCTCCCAATAGCTATATATCAGATGGGCAGGAGAGATGGCATTGGTCAAGTATGTGGTGACCTGCTTCATATAATTTAAGAGGTTCTTAGCAGTTTCCAGTAGACAGAAATGTTTCCACAAATAGGTGCGTGGAAGTCTACTGTGTCTGAAATTCCAACATTAGACATTAATTTCTTTGAGTAATTCTCTTTATAGTCCTTTAAAACAATATTGAGGTAGCACAATTATTTCATACTAAGATGTTAGTGCCTTCTTGCTAGTGCCTTGACCCTACTGATTGTCTCCAGATTATCCTGGCTGTTTTTTATTTGTAAATAATTGTTTTTATGTTCTCTTCCTCTTGAACTCCTTGGAAGCAGGAATTGTCTTTTGCCTTTCTTTTTATCCGTCAGCAATGAGCACAATGCCTAGTACATGATAACTGCATAATAAATGTATTTGACTGACTATTAGTAATTTACAAGCTCTTTCATTGATGATAAAGACCTGAACAAACAGAAGAGAACTAAAAAGAGGAAGAGGAAAGGACATTAAAAACTAGGATGGTGTGGAGAGGGATTGGCACCAATTACAAACTTCCCAATTTTGATTAAGGCCAACACTGATGGAAAGTTATTATTATTCCCATTTTATAGATTAGAATACTGATATACCAAGAACTGATTAACTCAAGGACACAGACATAAATCTGCTTTGCAAATAACTTCCTAGATCCTATGTCTTTTAACTTAGCTCAGTTAAGTTTCCACTCTACCAAGATGTTTCCTAGAAGCTATTCCTTATTCTAAGTGAGAGGGGATTACTTACAAGGCCTTAAACAAAATGGATTTGCATTAATACCAAATGATGTTTTGTTACTGAGTCCTTTCAGTTGTGTCCACCTCTCTGTGATCGCATTTTGGGTTTTCTTAGCAAAGGTGTTAGAAGGGTTTGCCCTTTCCTTCTCCAGTTCATTTGGCAGACAAGGAACTAAGGCAAAGAGGGTTAAGTGACTAGCCCAGGGTCTCACAGCTAGTGAGGGTCTGAAGCCAGATTTGAGCTCAGGTCCTCCTGACTCCAGGCCTGATGCTCTATCCACTGTACCACCTAGCTGCCCCAATGACCAGATAGTCGAGAGATAGGAATAATTTTTACTTAGGATAGACTTAATAGGTAAGTCTTTGAGGCCCCTTGCCATCAACTTTGTACTGACTTAAAGACTGTTGTGTGAGTCAAATCAAATGTCAGTTCACAAGCATTTATTAAGCATCTGCTATATGCCAGTTGAAGCCACATTAGCTGGAACTAATGAACCTGAACACACTCTAAACCTGTCCATTTGATTTTACTTGAAATGTATCCTTAATCCTTTAAAGTGGCTTTTTAAACATGATTTCTTTTTTAAAATGAATGAAGAACAAACAGCCATAGTGTGTTTATCAGTCCTGAGGGCCCTTTCTTATCTACACAATCAAGGCATTATTCACAAAGACATCAAGAGTGATTCCATCCTTCTGACCAGTGATGACCAAGTAAGATATTAAGATTTTCCTTGACTTTGGTAAAAGCACACAATAAAATCTGATCATCAGCTACGGACATCAGCCTCTGAAGACAGCAGCTTTCCCAGAGATACTTGTTCCTCTAAATTGTTTGTTTTTTGTTTTGTTTTGTTGTTTAGGCAATTGGGGTTAAGTGACTTGCCCAGGGTCACACAGCTAGTAAGTGTCAAGTGTCTGGTCAGAGGCCGGATTTGAACTCAGGTCCTCCTGACCCCTGGGCCAGTGCTCTATCCACTGCACCACCTAGCTGCCCCTGTTCCTCTAACTTCTGAACTTCCCAACTTGGTGTCTCTGCCTCTCATCTACACATGCTTTATGAAGAGGGATATCAAATACTGTGATCATGATATCTGAAAATGTCATCCCATCCATCACCTTAAGCTAGAGCCCAAATTTAAAGTGCATTTCTTTGCTTGAACAGTGACTACAGAAACTTACAGAGTGTAGAAACTTCATTTTCCCCTTACTGCTTCAACCCTAATGAAAATGAGCCAACCTCTACTCTTATGAATTAAAATCTCTTGTGATTTTATTCCAAATTTAATTGAAGATATCACCTATTTGAGTCATCATCTGTCTGGGCTCTCCAAGAGATTGAAACCCAGCTATTGTTGGCATTTCCGTAGAGGCTACCTGCTTGGACAAGTAGTCAAGGCAGCCATTTCATATATTCCTTCATTGCATCATCTGCTTTACACTTTAGAAGAGTACTACAGAGAAGTGAAGGAAGAAAAGAAAAGCTGAACCCTCAAAGGAAATTTGGATTAGCAGAATGGATGTAAAATGTAATTTGACCAAAGTAGTCTACTTAAACACTCTTCCTGCCATTGAAGGTCATGGCACTGATGATACATGGAACAAAACCTCTCTTAGATGTTACTTCTTTTTTGCAAAGGTAGCATAGTCATAAATGTCTGGATATCTTGGCATTGGATCAGACTTCTTTCAGAAATGATTCAGAGAGTGGAGGTGAATCTAGAAACCTGGGAACACTGTGTTCATTGAGTGGCTTTCGGAAGACCTTCAAGTCAGGTCTTGCTTAGTCAGAAAGGAAAAAAAAAAAAAGACTTATCTGCAGTCATATTTTTTAGCATTTTTTTACCAATTTTTTTTTTTTTACCATTTTCTCGTAGATCCCTGCTGTGTGTATAAATTAACTAAAAAAAATGAGTTGTTAATGTTTTATATTTTTTATTAATGCCACGCTTTATACTTTTCAAAGTCCTGTGAAATAGATGGAGTGGGCCCTACTTTTATTATCCTCATTTCATATATAAGGAAATTAAATGTCTTGGCCCACTCCAGTCTTCTTTCATCTTACTTACCTATGTTCTGTGCCATTCAGTAACAGTGGCCTCCTTGCTGTTCCTGGTACAAGACACTCTATCTTGTGACTCTGGGTTTTTTTATTGTCTGGAATTCTCTCTCTCCTCACCCTTCCTCCTGGCTTCCATGGCTTAAATTAAGTGCCAGCTAAAACTCCACCTCCTATAAGAAGTATTTATCAGGGGCAGAGCCAAGATGGCAGAGTAAAAGCAGTGACTTGCTTGAATCCTCCCCCAAACCCCTCCAAATACCTGTAAAAAATGCCTCTAAACTAATTCTAGGGTAGTAGAACCCACAAAAAGACAGAATGAAACAAATTTTCAGCCAGACAAAGTGGATGGTTAATTGGAAAAGTCTATTGCGCCAGGCTGGGAGAGAAGCCCAGGTCAGGGCAAGGAGCACAGTTCAACGTGGGCAGCACAGGCAAAGATATGGCCAGAGGAAACCCAGAACAAGCCTCAGGGGACTGAATCATGGAAAGCTATGGTGATTTCCAGACTTCTCAACCCACAAATGCCACAGACAACTTAGAAGGTCAGTGGGAAAGGTCTGTCAGACCTGGGTGAGAGAGGAGTGAGGGCTAATCCTGGCCCTAATGCAGCCCCAGGGCAGTGGCCACAGAGGCAGTGGCTGCTTCTGGAGCTCTCAGCCCACAGATGGTGGGGTGATTGAGTGGCTGATCAGAGGGGGATTGCAGGAATCTCTGTACTAAGCATTCTCTTGCTTTGCCTGTGCTTAGATCTGGGTCCCAGTCCTGGGTGGCAGGCCTGGGGGCAAGGGGGAGTGCTGGCTGTGTGGTGGTGGAGAGGGAATCCTTCTCACAGTTCCAAGGCAGAAAAGAGTACTTGTGGCCACTCCTAGACCAGAGCTCAGTCCAGAAAAGGAGTAAACATCTCTCCTTAGATCATACCACCTTGGAAGAATTTTTACAAGTCCCTAGAAGTATCTCTGAAAACAGTTGCACAAAACCCCTGAAGCTTGGGACAGTACACCCTCCACACTGGAAGCAGAGCCCTACCTTAGCAAAGAGTTAAAAAGTTAATTGGCTGGAAACATGAGCAAACAGAGGCAAAAAAACTCAAGATTATAGAATCTTACTTTGGTGAAAAAAAATATGAAAACATACAACCAGAAGACAACAAAGCCAAAGCTCCTACATCCAAAGCCTCCAAGAAAAACATGAATTGGTCTCAGGCCATGGAAGAGCTCAAAAAGGATTTGAAAAGCAAGTAAGAGAAGTAGAGGAAAAATGGGGAAGAGAAAGGAGAGTGATGCAAGAAAATCATGAAAAATGAGTCAACAGCTTGGTAAAGGAGACCCAAAAAAATACTGAAGAAAATAACACCTTAAAAAATAGACTAACCCAAATGGCAAAAGAGATCCAAAAAGTCAATGAGGAGAAGAATGCATTAAAAAGCAGAATTGGCAAAATGGAAAAGGAAGTAGTCCAAAAGCTCACTGAAGAAAATACTTCCTTAAAAATTAGAATGAAGCGAATGGAAGCTAATGACTCTATGAGAAATCAAGAAATTTTAAAACAAAACCAAAAGAATGAAAAAAATAGAAGACAATGTGAAATACTTTATTGGAAGAACAACTGACCTAGAAAATAGATCCAGGAGAGATAAGCAAGTTTAAGAGAAGCATGAAAAGGCAAACGAAAAAGATAAATCATAAGGAACTTATTAAAGTTGAACTGTTTACCTCTCTGACTACTAGGGTAGTTGGAGGGAATATCTATATAGACACAAGGCACAGGGTGAGTTGAATATGAAGGGATGATATCTAAAAAATAAGTTTAAGGGGTGAAAGAGGATTATACTGGGAGAAGGAGAAAGAGAGAGGTAGAATGGAGTAAATTATCTCACATAAAAGAAGCAAGAAAAAGATTTTACATTGGAAGGAAAGAGGGGGATGGTGAGAGGGAATGAGTGAACCTTACTGTCATCAGATTTGGCTTAAGGAGGGAATAACATATACACTCAATTGGTTATGGAAATCTACCTTACCCTACAAGAAAATAGGGGGGAAAGAGATAAGAGAGGGGGGATGATAGAAAGGAGGATAGATTGAGGGAGGAGATAATCAGATGCAAACACTTTTGAGGAAGGACATTGTAAAAGGAGAGAACAGAATAAAAGGGGGACGGGATAGGATGGAGGGAAATATAAATAGTCTTTCACAAAATGAGTATTATGGATGTGTTTTGCATGACTATACATACATAACCCATATCAATTGCTTGCCTTCTCAATGAGGGTGGTGGGGAGGGAGGAAGGGAGAGATTTTGAAACTCAAAAGTTTAAAAATGAATGTTAAAAATTGTTTTTTATGCAACTGGGAAATAAGATAAACAGGCAAAGGGGTATAGAAATCTATCCTGCCCTACAGGAAAATAGAAGGGGAAGGGGATAAGAGAATGGGGAGGGGGTGATAGAAGGGAGAGCAGATTGGGGAAGGCATATTTAGAATGCACGCCGTCTTGGGATGGGAGAGGGGAGAGATGGGGAGAAAATCTGGAACTCAAAATCTTGTGGAAGTAAATGTTGAAAACTAAAAATAAACGAATTAATTAATTAAAAAAGAAGTATTTACCAATCCTTCTCAATGGTACTGCCTTCCCTCTGTCATTTTCTCCAATGTATTATATATATATGAAAAATGTGTTACCATATATGTATTTATGTGTGTGTATATATTTATATGTATACGTGTGTGTATGTATATGTATGTGTATATATATAAAATCTTGTTTGTACATAGCTGTCTTCCCATTAGACGGTGAGCTGCTTGAAAGAATAGACTGTCTTTTGTCTTTCTTTGTATCCCTAGCTCTGATCATAGTCCCTGGCCCATAATAGATGCTTTATCACTGCTTATTGACTGTCTGGTTACTTGTCCATATAATAAAATGATAGACTACAGCTCTAAAGAAATTATGGAAGCAAAGAAATAGAATAGGGTGATTGGGACTAGTATGATTTTATTTAAGCTGTTTCCATAATAGTTGCCACCATTCCAGTTTTGCCAAAGATTTTCAAATTCATTAGCTTCTGAGGTACGTGGGGACTGAGTATCTTTTTTTCTTTTTTACATTTCTTTTTTTATTCCTTGAAGTACCAAATTCAATAAATTCTAAATACAACTAATCATTCAAGAAATTGCAAATCCAACTAAATGTACTTTCATCTAGCCCATATCAGTTCATCTTGTGTTTAAGGTTATCAAAAGGCTTTGTCAAAAGTTTTGCTAAAATTGAAGCCAATAGGATTCCCTTAGTCTACAGTCTACTAAGCATATCAGGATTAAAAATGATGTTAATCTATCATCATTGTGAGCTTACAATGATCAACATGAAGCTATGTTGACCCTTTGAGATCATTGCTTTCATTTGTACATACCTATTTTAAATCTAGATTAGTGTAAGGAGGTCTGAATCCCAGGACAGATATCCTTAGTGACTGTATCAGGAAAGGTTTTAGAATCACAGGCTCTCAAGGTTGGAAGTCATCTCATATACCATCTAGTCCAACCCATACATGAATAAGAGGCCATACAACAATTGACTATCCTCACTCTTTCATGAATCTCTGCAGTGAGAAGAGGACAAAGAATTAGTCTCATAGAATCATAAAAGAGCTAGG